AATGCATCTTCTACATTTTCAAGAAAGCAGTGATTTAAAATAGGAAACAATTCCACAAATTAGGAAGTGGCTAACAATATCTTATTGTTGCTAACCATGTAACTTTTTAGATTTAGATTTTAAAACATCTTTTACGATTGTCGTGGTTGTCATTCTGTCAAAATGAGTGTTTAAATTTTTTATGGAGACCTCGCTTATTTTCACAGCCTTTGTAATGCTACTGTGTTAAATAAACACTTCTTGTCCAGACACTGAAAAAGCTAACATGCCAAGTGATTTGTAGCTTTCCACCTGAACTGTTGCTCATGAAATTGGGATTATATGCCTGCAGCGCACACGTGGTAAATGAGCTTCTTCTTAGATTGCCTACTGTGCTTCCAGGACTTCAGCAGAAGTTGAGGCTTCCAAGAGTAGCCTGAGTAACAGGAATGGTTGCATGGCTAACATTTTGTAATACAACTTAGTAGCTTAACTTTTACCTTTACTGAATGAAAATATAAAAATTACCAATTTTTTGCTGTCCATTTCTTGGTCCTTCTTTCATCCCTTTCAGTAGATGTGAATATCTCGTTGCAGCTACTCTCACAAATTTAACTTAATCAATTTGGTTACTCACACAAATCAAGAAAAATACCACAATCCTTCTTCCGTAGTTTCTGGTTGAGGTAAACATGCAAGTGAAATATGTAGCAAATGTTGAAAATATCCTGGAAAGAGACAGGACTATTTATTCTCCCCTCATACTATCATACCAAGTGGAAGTGATAAGTCATTTAGATCAGACTGCAAATTAAGTCCCAAGACCTGCCTTGCACTACAAATAAACACCTATGCCTGTAGATCTTTAATACAAGAAAACTGTTGTCTTCACTAGGCACTTCATAGGCATTACTGTAGAATAATATTTTATTAATATATTATCCAGTGCTGTGATAAAGTAGGATCAACACCAGTGTAGTTCATTGATGAGGGCTTCTCAATAGAGTAAGCAAGCAACTATTCTCCCCCAAGGTTTTATTGTATTTATATAAAGACAGTGGTTTTAACCAATTTCAAACAAATTCTTGATGACCTCAGTTTTATTTTGAAGTTCCAAATTCCCCCAGCTAGTTACTGAATCACCGGGGACTTCTCTGCCTTGGAACAAGACTGCGAGTGATGCAGCTGACACCACCACTACGTCCAGCTCAAGGGCAGCCACAATGAACAGCTTATGCAGTCTGTTCCAAACATGGAATGCACTGCCATTAGTATGAGCAGAATGAAGAACTGCTACATTCATTTTGGATCGTGAGGGTGAAACTGGGCAGGCGTAAGCCCATGGTGTATGGAAAATAGCTGAGAAGACACTCATTTGTGCTGATGGAATAAGAAAAGGGGCTTTTAATAGCACAAATTTCTTTTTTATAGAAGTATGTAGCAGTAAATAAAAAGGGTCTTTATTGCCTGGTGTTCACATCTGACACAAAATAGATATTGCCTTTGCATGCATTGATTACAAATCAGTGGTGACTCCTCTGGGGTGTGTTGTGGAGAGGGGAGTGAATCTGTCTTGTGTGCTCTTCCTTAGGGAAAGCAGGATCCTCTTCCATTGCATTAACTCTTGTAAAATGTAAAGGAGTAAGGGACATGATCCTTTTCCAGTGCTGGTGAGGGGGTGCCAACAAAGGAAACACAGTTGTTTGGTTCATTAAATATTGTCCTTCTATTTTAAACAGTACCATTGATTTAGATTTTACAATGATGTTTCACTGGTCAGAATGCTCTTTTTTCTTTTCCTGTTGGGTATTTAAATTGGTTCATATTAAATTCTCATTGTCTTTTTTACTCTAAAGCCACTGTAGAAAGTTGAGGGTATATTCTTTAGAGAAAAGCAGTTGCTGTGGTCATATTTAAAATAAATTTTGAATTGAAGAATATTTGAATGTCTTTGGAATGTTTCACATAGCTTTATCTAAAAATAAAAAGTTTTCCTAGTTTCAGTATGTAAATAATGTTTAAGAACTGCACAAAATCTGGTTGCAAACCCCTTAACACATGAATTACGTGATGCCAGTATTTATTAATTTGATACTCCAGTCTGGTTTTCTATAGCTACTGGGAACTGCACATGAGACTGTAAGCCAAGACACTCGTTCTACTCATTCAGAGCTATTCCAAAATCAATCTGAGACTCCTGGATCTCCACCCATCCCACAGCTCTTGGTCACATTTTGCTAAACATTGAGTCTCCTTCCTTGCAGTTGCCAACCATCTGTGTTAGGAGTGAAGCTGTCTCTTATCAGTTTACTCTCCAGTTTTCCCCATGTAAGGCAGGTTGCCCTTTGAGTTTTGGAGCAGAGCTCACTGCTTCCACAGCACATCCCAGCCAGGGAACGATAATTCCACATCAGGAATCCAGCTGCTCTCCCAAATGATACTGCACTGTATTACCACAAAGCCACAGGGCTGTTCAAAACACCCACTATCAGCCAACTCCATTCCCATGCTAGAGATCAGAAAACAAGAACACACTTGGCCTTCTCCTCTCTGTGCTTCCAGCAGTTCATCTGCCCAGTTAGGCTGGGATCTGTCCACATCTGTTTTGCAGCACTCCTCTCACTGGCTTAATTGTACATGCTTACTGATATCCGAGACAAACCACAAGGAACTGCTTGCATAAAGCTGGCTAACAAAGAAAGGAGAAAAGAAAGAAAAAGAAATAGCAGCATTTAAAAAAAAAAAAGTAAAATCTTTATTTCTTCATTAAGGAAATAAATTTTCTCTTTGCAGATATTGCTAATTACACACGGAGGTTTAATTTATTTTTTTTTTTACTTAAAAGATCTGCAATCTTCATTCTAAATCTTTGAGTTATCCTTAGCAATGACTTTTTTTGGATAAAAGGAAGGATGTCAGTGAGATCTTAGTTTTGGTGGGACCCAGAACAAACATATTCCCTTTAATAATTCATTCATTCTCTAATAATATCCTTTAGGGAGACTGGCTACTTCCACTGATTGTTTTAGTACTTATTTTAAACAATAGGCTCACCCATTTAACAAATTAAACTTCAGAATTCATCACTTGTCAGACATTGTTTGTTGTTCATCTAAAATGTGGGACAATGCTGCTCTATGTTAGAAAAGTCCAGTGCAGAGAAATCTCTACTCTTTTCATATGCAGTGCTGCAGCAGTGCCTCAAAACTTTCCAAAGCCTTCCTGACAGCAAGCCACCACGGACATTTGTTTGGCTTCAGTCTATAGCTGAGCACAGTAAATAACAATAGTATTTATGTCCATCATTACCTTGGTTTCTCTGCAGGAGGTATGTTGTAGAGACCTGACCACTTTTCACTAGAGCAGTGTTGATCACAGCTATTGGAAAGGTTCATCTAGGAGATAATAATTGTCAGAAGTACTGGGGGAAAGGACAGTGTAGAGAAATGGATATGAAAAAGATAACTGGAGGCACTTATTTTAGCTACTTGAAAAGGTATGTTATAGGAAAAAAAAAGCCTCAGTTTTCTTTTAAAGTGTGTTATTTACGAAAGAGCAAAATGCGGCTTAAAGTGAACAGAAGGTAAATATAATCCAGAAAGAAACATTACCCTGCACAGCATGTCAGTGACCTGTGGGATCCACCATGGCACCAGGTCAGTCAGCTGCTGTAGGTTCCTTCACAGAGAGGCCAACAATAAAAAAATGTGTTGTCTGTCCATCCATGTGGTATATCTGACATGTGCTGAAAGCAACAATTTCTACCTGCAGTTACCTCTGCCTGACACATAAGGTTTGCCACATGCAAGGGATCATCCAATCTCTTCTGCAAGCTTTAGTGCAACTTAAAACAGAGACCAGACTCTTTTAGTCACGATTACTTTAATTGGGACTGTACATAACAGGAGTACATCCACTGAGACACACCACAATGATGTCATTCAAACAACTTAATGTTTTTTGCTGTTATAATTCCTGGCTAATCCAATCATAGATTCATTTAGGTTGGAAAAGACCTTTAAAATCATGGAATCAAACTGATAGCCTAGCACTGCCAAGTCCACCATTGAACTGTGTCCCCACATCTACACATCTTTTAAATACCTCCAGGTATTTAAGTGATGACTTCGCCACTTCCCTGGGCAGCCTGTTCCAGTGCTTGACCACCTTTTCCATGAAGAAATTTTCCTAATATCCAATCTAAACCTCCTCTGGCACAATGTGAGGCCATTTCCTCTTGTCTTGTTGCTTGTTACTTGGGAGAAGAGGCTGACCTTGCCTTGCTTCAACCTCCTTTTAGGTAGTTATAGAGAGCAATAAGTCCCCATTAAGCCTCGTTTTCTCCAGTTTAAACAATCCCTGTTTCCTCAGCCTCTCCTCATAGGACTTGTGGTCCAGACTCTTCACCCTTTGAAGTTGAAGAGCCCTGTGGAACCCCATTAGAGACAGGTCACCAGTCTGATATTACCCCATTCACTATTACCCTCTGTGTTCTACTTGTAAGCCAATTGCTCACCCACCACGTGATGTGTTTATCCAGCTGTGTGCTGGCTATGGTGTGCTGGACAGTTTGTCCAGAAGGATACTGTGAGAGACATTATTGAAAGCTTTACTGAAAAAAAAAAAAAAAAATTACATCAACAGGTTTGCCTTGATCCACTAGGTGGGCTACCTTGTCATAAAAGGAAATCAGGTTTCATAAGCAGGACTTTCCTCTCGTGAAGCTGTGCTGCCTGTGACCGATGACTGCGTTGTCTTTCAGGCGTTTTTCAATACCTTTCAGAATAATTTTCACCATAACTTTACCAGACACTGAAGTGAGACCTGACAGGTCTAGAGTTTCCAGGGTCCTCCTTCTTGCCCTTCTTGAAAACTGGGACAACATTCATCAGATCAGCTTCCAGTCGTCTGGGATCTCTCCAGATTACGAAAACCACTCAAAAATCATCGAGAAAGGTTTTGCAATGACATCAGTTAGCTCTTTGAGGATTCTGGGATGAATTCCATGAGGCTCCATAGATTTGTAGGGATCCAGCTGAAGCAGCCAATCCTGCACAATTTCAGGGTTGGCTGGGAGTTGATAATTCTCGCAGCCATGGTCCTCCAGCTCAGGGCACTGAGACCCCCTTGGTCCAGCATCTGCACTGAAGACAGAGGCAAAGAAAGCATTAAACACCTCTGCCTCATCTCTGTCCCTGTTTGTGAGGTGACCATCCTCATCCTGTAACAGGCTGCTGATATTTCTATACACCTATTGCCAGTAATACATTTGAAAAAATTCTTTTTATTGTCCCCTACATTTCTGGCAGCTTCAACTCCAGCAGAGCTTTGGCCAAACGAACTTTCTCCCTACAGCGGCAAGCAGGATCTATGAATTCTTCCCATGTCACTTGACCTTGCTGCCACTGGGCATACACCTTCCTTTTTTGCCTTATTTCCGAGAGAAGGTCCCTGCTAAGCCAAGCTGGCCTTCTGCCTCGCCTGCTTGACTTCCAACCTTTGGGAATTGCTTGTTCAAGCACCTCAATGTCTTTCTTGTAGTGAGGAGCCCAAAACTGAACACAGGATTCGATGTACAGCCTCACCAGTGTCAAGTACAGGGGGATGACCACTGCCCTGATCGTGCTGGCCACACTATTTCTAATACAATCACACAGGGTAGTTACATCCTAAAGCCAGTGCCCTTCCTACACACAACACAGAGGTGAAAGAGGAAGTTTGGGTCACAAGTAATGTAAGCAGGGACACCAACGCTACCCTTGTTTCTCAGGAGCATGTCAACTGCAGTCAAAGCATGTGGACTATGCTGAGAGACCCTCTCCCAGTGGTCCTTTGAAGCAGAGCCTGGAAGCAGGGGAGCTGCAGATGTTTACCCACCTGACTGTGCCAGCTATTGTCTTGTGCCTCAAGTTCCTGCAGATTGGCAATTAGGGTAGAAATCTGGAAATCCACAGCACAGTTAGCAGCTTCTGGTCATGGTGGTGATTGGATTAGGGGAAAGAGTGCTGTCTGGAAGGATACAGCACTGGCTGCTCTGGGGATTTAAACTGATCCCCAGCCAAAGGAAAATGAGTGTGGTAGCTGTGGTTTGCTTTCCGTTAATATTATCTTACTGTTTATGTCCTAGAGAAATTGGCATAGCTGGCAAATCCTGGGAGCGAGGCCCAAAACTGATTTAGCATTAAGCCTGAACTTTCTCTCACCCTTTGAAGTCCAAGTTTTCACACTCAGCGTCAACATGAAGGGACAGAGTAATGCAGCAATGCTGCTCTTCCTGCATTTTCTTTTTGTTTTGTGTAAATGTCAGAAATCATGGAACTGAGATTTATTTTTTTTTAAATCTACTAATCTTCCCATGGGAATAGTTATATATTTTAAACGTCTTCAGAAAAGAGGAACTCATACCTTAGAAAATCAGATACAGAAATTTTCTTAATGTAATTAAACAGATAAAATGAGTTGGATAGAAGTAATTTGGTTTTTAAAGGTGAACTTAATGAGTTGAAAGTAATACTTTGGATTAGAATCTTTTGTTCCAAAATACAACAAAACATAAATCATACAGGGTTTTGCATGTATGTTCTTGGACAAAAACGTAGTAGAGATGTTAAAAAAATCTGTCATTCTGTAATGCAAATCAGATTTTGTCTAATTTTACTTCAGCGAGCTTTGCTTTTCTTTAAACAATTAAGATTAGCTAACAGACCTCCTTGCTCATGTTTATATACAGTTGGAAGAATAATTCAGACATCATTTGATACTGTATCTAGCTGTGCTGAAGCTGTATTCAATCTAATAGGTATTGAGTTAACTATACTCATTTTTTGACACGATTAATCCATTCGAATTTTTTTAACAGAGCAAAGGGTATAGGAGTAATTAACTTGCAAATGTCTGGTTGGTGAAGTGCAGGGTTTTTTAAAATGTATCTTAACAATATGAGAAATTTTCAAAAGCCACTAATATCCTATTATCAAAAGCAAAATGGGTGCATAGCATAAATCACTCATAAAAAAAAAAGAATGTTAATCTTTATATTATTCAAAGGCATTTGAAACCATTCTCCTAATTGCCACTTCAAAATCCTCTACTAGCTAATAAAAGAAATTAATAAACTTCAACTCATATCCTTTTTTGTATTATATGGTGCTTTGGAGGTAAGAAAAATTTGGTCTGAACTTCAGTAGGCTGTAAAATACATATTCACCACTATGCATTAAAAAGCAGCTCAGCAGGAAGAATTACCTATTGAATCAGAAAGATTCTGCCCCTGATTAACACTGAAGGAGTGTTTCTGTGTAAGGTGAAGAAGCACTGAATTACTTACTTACACCCTCCAAATGCAGTAAAAGATTTAACTATTCTTCTGAGAGAAGAGCTTGTAAGAGAGGATTGGATGGATGGGAGAATTTGAACTACTAAAGATGGGTCCATCAAGATGTGTTTAGAGTTGCTACAGCCAGCTGACTGCCCTTAATTGCAGCATTCATAAGAGATTTTAGGCTGAAAAATAAATTTCAGAGAGGGTGTAGGACTAGAATTTGGGCTGATAAAAACTAGTGAGCTGCAATCCCTGCAACTGGAGAGAGGCAACATAATCCAGGGTGAGTGGACAGTTGTTTTCAGATTCTATTTCTGTAGTCCTAGGTGAGCAGGGAATATTGGCTTGCAAACCCAAGTTGTTGCAGATCCTGGAAAAGTTTTTGAGCTCTGCTTGGAGCAGTAATTAACAGTGAAACTAATCCACTGTTCTCTGCCTACAGCAGTTTTAAGAATAGAAGCCTAGAATGCTTGGGGTTGGAAGGGACCTTAAAGGTCATCTAGTTCCAACTCCCTTGACGTGAATAGGGATACCTCCCACTAGACCAGGTTGCTCAAAGCCCTATCCAGCTAGCCTTGAACACTTCCAGGGATGGAGCATCCACAGCTTCTCTGGGCAATCTCTTGCATTGGCTCACCACCCTCATAGAAAGTCTTCTTCATTAGAATTTCTTCCTAATATCTAACCTAAACCTACTCTCTTCAGTTTACAGCCATCAGCCTTTGTCCTGTCACTACATGCCCTTGTCAAAAGTCCCTCTCCAGCTTTCTTGTAGGCCCCTTTGAGGTCCTGTAAAGCTGCTGTAAGGTCTCCCTGGAGCCTTCTCTCCGCTAGACTTAACAACCCCCACTTTCACAGTCTCTCTTCATAGGAGAGGTGTTCCATCCCTCTGATTATCTTTGTGACCCTCCTGTGGACCCACTCTAACAAGTCCACATCCTTCCTATGTTGGAGGCCCCAGAGCTGGATGCAGTACTCAAGAAGACCTTACGGTTAATGAAAGGATCAAGGTTGCTCAATTAATTTAATTTCTTGCTGAGTCTTCAAAAAGCTGCTGAGGACCATTTCTAACCAGGAACATTTCTTTCTATTTACATCTTCACATGGCAGGGTCTCCCTGCCATGAGCTACCCTTAGATGAAATGGGCTAGAAAGCATGAGGTCACAGCTGGGATGACCAGAGCTCTGGGGTTTGTTACAGGGCTAAGTGTAAGGAAAGGGCTTTTTGTTGCACTTAGGGAGAGTGTTTGCATCCTGCCATCAAAAACACAAATCCAACCTCACTGACCTAATTAGACCAAGAATCTGTCTTTCCTGCTCATGCCAGCCTGAACCCTACCATTAACACTAATCCTGAAATTAAAGCTACACCTAGATCAGCAAAACCTGTCCAACCCTGGACTAAGCACAGCTGGTGATGACATAAAATACATGTTGGTAACACCTAGATCTGAGCAGCAACACTGTCCACATAGCATCAATTTTTCAGGCTATTTATCTGCACTCAAGTTTGTGTATCTTGAGTTAGAGAAACTGGCAATGCTCCTGAGTGAATTCACAAAATCCCCAAGATCCTCACAGGCTGAAGTAATTCATGTGATGAGGGGAGAGACAGCATATCTCTCCAGAAGGTATATTATTTGCTCTTTCCGCAAGGTATATTATTTGGTCTGTCAGTGTGGAATGAGGTCCATTCTGCACTGCATTCCAGATTCTTTATATTTCTCAAGTGGAAAGCAGCTGGTATATTCAACTAAAATGTTTCTTAGGTTGATTGGAGCTCCCAGCTGACAGAGAATCAATGCAGTTGGTTCCCATTCAACTACTCCTTGGGATATCTGACAATTTTGACAGGTTAATTTAGAATTTTTTTGTTGCAAAATGAAATTTTCATAGATTAGAACAGTGATATAGGTATAAAAAGCTAAATCTCTTCAATTTTAAGCTTTCTTACTCCCAGTGTCCGAGCTGCTGACAAGTTAGTCTGATACACTATAATCATGAAGAAAAAAGACCTTTTATTATTTAAATATAATATCAATATTAAAAAAAAACAGTGGGGAGAGGATATATTATACATAAAGATTAAAAGATACTTGAAATCTCACTGTCTTCTTATATGTTCTTTATAATTTAGAAACATGGCACCATGGTCTCACTAACACCAGTTAAGTGCCAAGACAGAGCATGTGTGTTCTTTCCTTATTAGTTTAACAGAATCCGTTAAATAGAAGATCAAAGAATTTCAAAACCAAAAAAAAAAGAACACAAAAACTGTCAGCCAAGTCACACAAATCCATTATATAGAAAATATAAGCAACAAAAAAGAGAGAAAAAACCCAACAACATTAACCCAACAACAGTCAGTTCAGAAAGTCAATTAAGAAAACTTAACTTATTTTATTATGGTTTCTTATGCAAGTAATAATTCATACTGAAACTCTTTGATTTGTAAAATTAAATTTGCTACAACTGTATAATTGTTAAGTAGCTTTAAGAGTAGATTAGTTTGTAGCAAAATATATAAAGGTTATTATCTTAATTTACCAAACAATCCAAATTCATATAAGAGGACACTGTAGATACAGATGTTTGCAGTTGTTAGACTGTGAAATACTGGCTATTAACTTATTGCTTACCATGTTGAAGACTATACTGTAAATATAAAATGCCATAGGTCATTCCATGATGAATCTTTTATTCTCTTCACTAAAAAATGGCTGCGGAGAAGATAATCTACATCAAGGATTGAATCCTTGAGACAGAAGATTCATGACAAGTATTGCAACAGTATTTCGTGGGACATATCAACTATCAACTCCAGTGAGTCCATGCAAAGCATCTGTGCAGGACATGAAATTCAGACTGTGGTTTCCAGCAATTAAATTAAATGTGAATTTGTCCCAAACGCAAATTTTCTCCAACTCTATGTTCTCAAAATAATACATATTTTCTGTTTGGAAAAAAATTCAGGATTATGCTCATCCTACCTTACTAGACTGAACAGAATGAACACTCATGGTGAATGAAGAAAACATACGACTGTAATAACTGGTTATTCCTGACTATTAATACATTAGGATCACGGCAGTAAATAACTGAAGAGATGTCTCTGCTTGAGAAAAAGATTAATAGACTGAAAGACCAATTACTTTGTCCTAGTTAGTTCACAGAACTGCTAACAAATAGCTCCTCCTGCAGCAATATGACCCCCTTTCCTCTCTAAACTCACCTAGCATATTCTTCAAAATTTTATATTTAATTTTTTAGCCTCCATATGACATGGCACAGAAGGCAATTTATTTCTCATATTCTATTGATAGATTGCCAAATTAGTCCATCATCTTCAGTTACTAAAGTAAAAGAAAACATATAGAAATATAGGCAAGATTCAAACAACAAAACACTGGACTAAACTTTTAAATCTGCAGTTTTTTCAAGTAGTTCGATTTTTTTCTTTTTCTTTTTTTTTTGCTTAATAGTTTACACTGTTATTGTGGAATAGCATGAAACAGACTCTGCACTTCCTTTATTTACAGGAAACCAAAGCTGATTCTGAATGAACCTGACAAAGCAACATGTGGCTAAGACCAGAGTTGGGACCAAGCATCGAGGCTTCTTTGGATAGAATATACCTTAAGAGAACATCATTTGCAGATGTTCTTTATCCAGTTGGATTCCCTGGCTTTTCACTATCTGCTCACATGAGCCAGGGCCAAAACAAACAAGTTGTCCTATTCTCAGCAAAGTGCATTTGATGGTGCCGTGTGGATGAAAGGCCTCCAAAGCAATGGTTCTCAGCATTCCAGATGATTAACTCTTCTAATTGGCTCTGTCTCCTCCCATTCCAGGATCTTCTCACAATAAATTTAGTTAGAAAAAGACGCATGAAATTCAGCATGAAGGACATATCAGGGAGATGATGTGAAAGTAACATTGCTTTTCAAGCTGCATTCCTAGCATAGAAGACCAAGAGTTTATTTCCTCTTGGCAGACACAGAATATAAACAATATTTCTTGGTCATTTTTCTGCCTGGTCATCTGTTTTTATGTCGTTTAAATCCTGTCCCATCAAGAGCAAGTATTAGGATGGAAGGCTTAAGAAGAAATAAACAAGTTGGGCTGTGTTGGTGCTCCTCAGAGCATTTAAACCTCTCAAGGACAGCCTGTTTCACCTTGCTCACATGCCCACTTAAAGAAGACATCTGAATTGGGGTCAGAAAGATAAGTCCTGTCAGGGATTTTTTTTCCTGTAGCACGTATGTATACACTTCTAAAGATCATGCAGAAACTATTGATCAAAGATTGTGTTACCACACGACCACAAGTCATTTTCAATGTTTCATATTTCTTCGTATGCCAGTTTGTAACTCTTGGCCTTTCTTTACAGGCTTCTGCAGAGGTACAAATGGTCTCTATATCCTTTTAGATTTAACATCTATTGCAGTTATCTACAATCACTAAGACCTGAAGTTCTCAACCAATGAAAGTATCTCTACTCCTCTGTCCTTATAAAGGCCCAATGCAAGTCATAGACTCTTGTTTTAGAGGGCTGCAGCTGGAAAAAAAGTCAGTGCTTTAGAAAAACTGCTGAGTCTCCAGTATTTGGAGTTAAATTATCTGAGATTATTATAAGGTTGCCCAAGTGTAGGATAGGGCTTAATATAGCTCTGGAACCCTGATCCACAACAGCTGCATACTAAATTAAAGCTTCTTTAGATATCTGAGTTTTCTTGCCTTTTTCAATGAGATATAAAAGCCTTCCACTTTAGAATGGGCTCAGTTAAAGCAAACGTACTTTACTATTAAACAATTGAGAAAAGGCTGAGCCAGTTTATTTGATTCTCTAAAGTCCTTCATGAAAAATAAATGCATGTTCTCAATAAAAGTTTGCAGCCCGGAAAGCTCAATTTCAAATAAAAACTGTAATGAAGTACAGTAAGTATTTATACATGAAAGATCTTCAGCTATAAAGCACACATTTTTTAACTTAACGAAAGCAAGATACGTGTTAGATGCAATAGTACACAAGTCATACAGATGGTTCCTGTAAAACCTAGAACAAACTTACCTATAGGAATCTCCGCAGAGCAATATTATCTGAAATTTCCATGTTTCTTCCTTTCTAAAGCAATTCCCTTTTAACATATTGTTTTCCAATGCAATTCATCTGTGAATGTAGTTGTCAATTACAGCAAACCTATTAAAACTACTGTTTATTTTGGAAAGCAGTTTTTTTCACAGAACTGTTAGATATGACTTTGGTATAAGGAGTTAAGAGTTACTATTTTTAATTTCCTGTACCTCTCTTGTATTTTTCACTTGGTTATTTGGAAATGTGATATACAAAAATATTGAATGACTTGGCATGAAAAGTGAATCAAATTGAGTAATATCTAACTTTCAGAAAGACTGAACAGACTCATGGATTTTTTAAATATTACTTCTATGTAGGGTATTTGAAATATGTTTGCAGTTCAGTTCAAATAAGAAAAGTGCAATGACTTGTCTATAAAATCCCTTCCCCATGTCACCGATCTTTTAAATTTTCCTGATTTTCATCATGCAGACAAGCAGCAAGGATTAAGGAAGGGATATTCAGTCTTTATGAAGCAGAAACAGATATTTAGAATTTTAAGTGTCAGCCCAATGTCACAGAGCTGTTTGCCATACTTACGCATTCAGTTCATGCAGCTTGGTAACTGTGAAGTGAGTACTTCTCACAAGAAAAGGGGAGAAAAAAAGGATAAATCCTCTCTCTACTTGAGTTTCCAGGATTGGTAGTTGGCATGACAACTGTAAGCAAGTAGTCAAGTCAGGCACTGACTGAGAGTAAGAGCCTGAAAGAAACCAACAGAAACATATAAAAAACAGGAATACAGAGAACTGTTAGGAAAAAATGATAAAGTGTGGACATTACAGAGCTTTAGAGATGTGGGCACTAGCACAAACAGTGAGCAACTATGTCCCTGCATAGCAGTAGGCAGAGTATCATATAGCTGAGGTGGTGACTAGCTGTTTCTCTAGCAAATAAAAAGATTGTGCTACTCTAGGCAAAACTCCAGCTCTGTTGTGTGCCAACAGAAATAGCTGATGAGGCTGCACAAGGGCAGTTTCATAGTGAACTGTAAGTGGTGATACAAAAAGAGCTTATTAATCTTCCTTTACCATGGAAGCAAGTTTAATTTCCACAAAATATATATGTTATCTAAATTAAAGAAAAAAATTAAGAAGGGTGTAAAAAATACGAATATGTGACTTTTTTATGGATAACTCAAAATCATGTTAAAAAAAAAGAAGAAAAATAAGAAAAAGAAAAAAAAAGAAAAAAAAAGAAGAAAAAAAATAAAGGTAAGTAAACAAAAGGAAACCTTCATGGATATGGTAGGATAGACTATTCTGCATCTTCTTCTGTAAATGTTTTTAGTTTGTTATTGTTACCTCAGTATTTTGACAAAATAAATTCTGTCTCCCTATGACAGACAATTGAGAGTAGAGCACCAACCTTACTTCACAACACTGTACACTTTGCCTTGGATTGGCCTCAGAAACTGTTCTCTTCCTATATAATGGCATCACTGTCATGTGTGAGGAACCCTTAAGTCAGATTACCCAAGAGCAGAACTTTTCAGCCACATATTTCCCATATTTCCTCATCCAAGGAAAGTTTTTTATAACATATTTCAATCAAAATTATGACCTAAAGTTGGTCATTGTTGCCATGTTTGTCAGTTAACTAAAGTCTGCCTATTTTTGTTCCACTTTTTAAAATACAGGTATTTTAAACACAAACATAACAGTGGGATAACATATATTTTATTCTCTAGCCTACCAGGGCATTTTTCTGATGCCAGAAGCATGCCTTTAAAATAGGAGCGAGGCCAGAGACTCTCACTTTTACTAAGTCAGAGAAGACAAACTGACCCCACTGCCACTGACTTTTTCTACTTGAGATGCCTAAAGCTGAAGGACCACTGTACTGTAGTCCAAGTATCCCACTTCATGTTTATTCTACTGGTGGACTTGACAACTCTGAAATATTTCATTGAGATGGAGAAGTTTGAAAGCTTCTCTCATAGAACATGAAAGGTTACAGCCTAATCATCATAGCAAATGAAGGGAGTTCTTAACATTCCTTCTGCTTCAGATATTTATTGCCTGAGCTATAAAAACAATTATTCTTTTGAGAAATTATATTTGTTTGCTAATTTTAACTTTCAATTTCTAAACCTATTGTAGTCACAATATGTCATAATATAAAATTGCATTGTTTGTTATTAGCAGAGAAAGAGAAGAATCATCTCCCAAAGGTGTAACACTTCTTCAGTACACGAATTATACTTCACATGATATTTCAAGTATTAAAATAACAAGCAGCATTTCATGGAGGAAGGTTTTACTTATTTTATAGAATTATAGAATTGTTAGGGTTAGAAGGAACCTTAAGGATCATCTAGATCCAACCCCTCTACTGTGGGCAGCAACACTTTTCACTAGATCAGGTTATTTAGAGCCCAGTCCAGCCTGGCCATGGAGATTTCTAGGGATGGGGAGTTCACAACCTTTCTGGGCAACTTGTTCCAGTGCCTCACCACCCTCACAGTAAAGAAGTTTTTCCTAATATCTAATCTAAACATAGATTTTTCAAGCAAAGTTGTCTCAAGTAGGAAAGGTGGAAAGGAGAACACCAAAACACAAAGCTGCTCTTGACATAGATAACACTGAAGAAGAGAGAAGGAAGTTCTCTCTCCTTATGATTTTGAAGTTATGCAAGTAAACAGAAAAGGTTTTTTACCTCACAAAGTTTGAATATATTATTAGAAACTTTAATAATGTTTTTAAACAATTTTATCATGATATACTGTGTGTATATATATGCAATATATGCTTTCACTATAATTCATGCTGAATGTTAAGCCCCTTATATCATGGTTATTATACAGGCTGAAGTCCCCAGTAATTCTTAATGAATGACTTGCTTCAGAAATACTTTTATTCTACGGCATGAACAGAATTGATTCTATAGCTGAAAAGTTGCAACTATCCTTTCTGCACTTTTCTTATTACATTTCAACCTTTGAACATGGAGATTCTACCACCGGGAAAAAAGTACTTATTTTGTTGAATACATTTCATTTTTATGGTAATTTGGCCTCATACATAACTCAATCTCTCTAGGTTACAGAAGATTTAAAAATGTTTACAAGAGGGATCGAGTGAAAACATAGCCTGCTAAAGGACCATCACTTTAACTGGTGTCAAGAAAAGCCAGTAATGGTATAATAAATAATGCCGACTGAAGATCTGGCCAAAAATACAGTTGTATATTCATCTTAACAGAGAAGTCACTGAGGTAAAGAAATAATTAAAAGTCAAATATTCTGTGTTTGCTGCACTTTTCTCTAAGTATATGTATGTTATACCACAGGCACAAGTATATTGTTTCATTTGAGATTCCAGCTAAATCAGGATTTTTTTAAAGACCCGTCCATACTTTTAGACTGGACAGCACTGGTTTTTGTTAAGCAAGTTCCCTGGTGGCAATAGCGTTTACTCTCTTTTCTCACATGGCCAGTACAATCAAGATTAGGTCAGCTATAACTAGTCACTAAAATGTAAAATTATTTATGAAATAACAAGGACAACCAAACAAGCCATTTACAGTAACAAAACTCAATAAATAACCCGAAAATACCACAAAAATATAAATCAACAAGATTCTACCCTTAAGTTGTAGTTCTTCCTTCTGCCCCTATTCACTTCCTTTACCTCTGAAACCAAGTTTCTGAACCTACATTGATTAAGAATGAGATATCTGTAACATGATATGTTGGCAGTGATCCTATAGATTCTTGTTAACAAGAAGTCCATCACAAATGTGGCTTCTATTAAGTTTTATTACTTTAAGGATGTCAATTTTGGTACAGGCTTATTTTCCCAGTTTTGTGCAAAAACACTACCCATCACATAAAACAGAGGCGGGGAGGTGAAAAAAAATAAGAGTGAGCTAAAAGAACACTGTTAGAACAATGCTGATGTACATACCTAAATATCCAGCACTAATCTGAAATAGGGTTTTTTACAATGACAAATTGAACAAGACTAGGTGCAAGCCCTCTCAAGACTCTACAACATGTTATTCTATTCATATTATATAAGGCTACAGAAATAAAAATTATATTGTATATGACTGTAGAAATTAATATTCTAAATCCAGTGTGGCACATGAGTACTATGTAAGAGTTCTTAATCAAAGAAAAGAGTCTAGAATAGAACTCAGGATCCGCTGTCCAAGTAACTTCAGACTTCCCAGAAGATTGCAACTTTCAAACCAGGTCATCGGTTATCATGGTGATACCTGGACAAAGGAGAGGATTGTTCTTCACAATCTGATATGGAAAAGAAAAATAGTTAATATTTAGATTTTTTCTTTTATAATGTACAAAGAAAATTATTGTACCACAGGAACTATTAAGAACTTTAAATGTTATAAACTTCAGTTAAAAACACATAAAAATCACATTAAAATATACTATGATTTTAAAGGATAAACATTAAGTTATTAAGAAATTTCAGAATTTAGGTTGCTATCAAACCTTTTCAGCATTTATGTACATATCTATTAACCTACATTCTGACATTAAGTATTGCATAGTTCTTTATGAATAATCATGGATCTTGACTTAGTGGCATGGAAATTCAAAGACTTGAAGAGGTTGCTATCAGCCTGATATGCGAGTGAAACTGTACAGGAGACAAGAACTGGAAGGGTTAAGTAGAAAAAGCATTTCTTTAGTCTAAATACTTAAATGCTTCCACAGAGTAGTGGATTCTATCTTTGTCTCTATCACAGATCAACGCACAACCCCCACAACTTTGGAGTCCTTTATTTCATGGCTGTGTAATTTGAAACATCTGGAAAGTCTGATTTTAAAAAGAAGTGACCTCTAAATTAAAAATGGAAGTTCAGTTAGCAGAAGCTATATATTAAATATTTAAATACCACATAAAAAGTGACTATAAAATAGGTGATGAGGCCTCTCAATTTAAACATGCAAAAATTACTGAGCTCTGTTCCTTAGGTAACCACCCCAAAAATAAAAGTAATTCTTGCATTACCAGCATGTTTTTAAGATAAGATTTCTTACTCACAGTGGTCAAATTTACAGACATGCACATTACACCAGCTTATATATCCTATCCTACTACCCAAACTCATCATCCTTATTGCCCTCTCTGCCTACATTCTCTCCTTCACCATATCCTTTTTGGGATTATAACTTTTTTTCCTCAGATTATTTAATTATTAAATTAATTATGAACTCTGAGCCTACCCTCCAATATCTCCATCTCCTTCTCTGTGCAGCATTGCCAGTAAACCAAATAAGCATTTTCTATTCCATCATCTAGATTTTTAATGACAGATTATGCAGAGCATAAATCCTTGCCGAACTAAAGCTGACAAACCTGGTAAATTTTAGAGGAATTATCAACACAGATCAGGCATAAGTTTTCCTGCCCCTTTTAGCTCCACTTTGGACTGTTATGATCTAGCCTACATGTTCTCAGATCCTGAGAATATCAGAGTAGTTTCTTATTTATGTTAGATGTTCTTATATCTTTTTCATCACCAGCTCTAGTCATAGCAAGACTTTCTTTTGTCCACAATGCTGGACAATATAATTTACTCTTCTTTAGAGCTAACTGGAACATATTCAGC